GAACAGTGGCCTTTAAATGTTGGTATATGTAAATAAGTGGTGAAAATTGTATGAAACAAAAAAATTATAAGTTTGACTTAATAACCTTTTTTCGGCGGTGGCCCGTTTATCTCACACAGTCCTTCATTCTCGTCCGTAGCTAATCATGATTTGTTCAGTAAGTAAGGTATAACTCTTCTAGTTACTGACAAACCTTTTATTTTTCAATGGCGTTTAATTTTGCTATTTTAATGCTTTGAGCCTATTTTAATACTGGGTTTTAATGTCACTAACTTGGCTGGAAAACAATGTTTTCTATTTGTATTTGGCATCTTGACGAGGATTTAATTCAGTGGACATACAGTTCGAAGTGTGTCCCATGTTTCGTATACAACAAGTATGTGTAAAATACATATTTTAGTCTTTTGTAAGGTAAGACGTCACGGTCCAGATTGCATGAACGAATATAACATAGAAATATATGTGCAATGTATTATTAATAATTACGTACAGAACTGTTTGGTTTATTTCTTTAAATATAATTTTGCTATGCGATAACATGGATATTTCAGTGGGAACAGGCATAGAAAATAACTATCGTTCGGGTTTATGGCGAATTTAGAAATTTCTATAAATTTTCAAGATCTTCATAGCGTAAAACATAATCATGCCAATCAAAATACAATCGATATTTGAACTTAGAAACAAATACGTATAGAAATGGAGCTCGCATATCGACGATAATAAAGGTTATTTCACATTGGTTTATCGTTGACATACTTTGAGTGTTGGCTCAATACTTAACGCGTTTATCTGCTGCTAATATACTTACATTTGCGGTTGTTGGCTGGGAATAATTTTTGTATTCTTAACGCGTGAGTACGGCGAACTTAAACATCTCTAGTGATACGCAGAAACATTATGACCTCTAAATAGAAAACGCGTATTTTGTTTTCTGTGCTTTGTTCGGATCGCTTACATGCCTGATGACATCAACGCTTTTCCACACAGTATCGTACACAAAGAGCGTCACCCTGAGTGCGGCACCCTTTATGTCAGTTTACTTACGAGCGCACCCTCAGTATGTGTTTGGCAATGTTTCTGTATCTATTTATCACATTTGCTGAATTCAGACATGATATCGAGTATTTATATAAAACATAAAAAAGTAAACTATTCTTGCGTGCTCAAAATGAATAGTATTCCTTCGGATTAAAGTTTAAATTGTCGCACTTGACAGAGAGTGATTCTGGACGCCCAAGCACGCCACCAACGGCATAATCAGTCGAGGCTTGGAGAATGGTTGAAGGAAGACATTACCTGAACGTTATCGTTTTCACGTCTCTGTACGAGTACTCTAATTCACGCTGGGAGGATGCCTTGTAACCTGGGCATACTAGGCCACAGAAAACTCGTACTGTGATGTTGAACAAGTAGAACTACCGAGTTACTGTCGATTATCACCTCAAAAACATATTTTCAAAATATTTTTAAAACAGTTCATCATAGCCAGTGCAATCGTAGTGACAAGCAATGTCAGAAAATTAATATAAGTTAAGAACACTGGTCATCAGTTTACTTCACAATTGGGAGACAAAGTTTGCTTTCTTTCAGTCACTGCACTGAGCATGGTTCATGGTGACTATTTTGTTCTACCAAGACAATACAATTACACAAAACAACCACTCACGCCATCGTGTCAAGCAAATTTTAAATATGCCAAGCAACATGCCGATTTCCATTTATTTGTACTTCAGCTGTCCGCCCTTCTTCTCAAAGTGTGTTTATTGAATACTAGTATTGATGTACTATGCGTTCTAGTAACATGGCTACGCAACGCACTCATGCTACATCGCCCTGTGTTATATTGGCATACTGGGAAACGGATAATTCTCTAGAGAATCATGGGCCCGTTTTTTAAACCAAATACATGTTAGATCTCGTTACTCCATGTCAACACCAATTTTTAATGCGTCCCCTTTACCGGCTTTTGATCGTATTTTATTGTGATCGAGACTTGTCTGTTGCTGTGATACGTTAGTTCAAAAAATAGGATGATTTGATATATTTATTGACTTCAGTTACGTGTCATGCCCAATCTCCCTGATCTCGGCAGTAACTCGAAATTTTCAAATATTTTACGTGTTCTTGCTTAAGTGCAAACTTTTTTCGCACTGGCTAGTCCAATCGAAGAGTGGAGAGTGCGCCCTCATGCAACAGTAACACGCTTTTTGATGTATTTGTTTTCCTATTTACAACCCCCACCTACTGCCGCCAATAAGACTAAAGAATCGATACAAAAATGGCTACTGTTTCGCAGGGTCATGGTTTAACATTCTCAATATTTTTATCCAGCCGAAGCTGACCTTTCAAAGACCCATTCCATGTGACGTCACAACTTAGTAGACTCAACCTTTATATACTATAGCTAGTTAAAACATGGTTACGGCGTATAAACCACGACCGGTTTACTTGCCGTAACTATCACGTGACCATGATTTACCCAATATGTACCTCTCAGTCGGCTGTATCGAATTTGGGGAGTTTCGGCCAACCGGATTGTTTTGAATACGCGTAACTCAAATTGTTGTAAAATTTCATATTGGGAGTTGTTGGTACTTTTGTTCCGCATACTATGTATATAACCAGATTACGGCATATAAATTGAACCACCGAAATTCTAGGACGCCTATGG